ATTGAAGATGTCTCTTCTAGGGGAGTTGGGGCTCCTCCTCCTTCCAGTGAGTCTCTGCTGATAACTGCAGGTAAGGAGTGAGTTCAAGCTAGGACCGGGGCCTCACCTGTGCTGTCTGGCCAGCACACCTGTCCTAAGCAGAGCTCCCCGCCCAGCTATTGTGAACCACGCACAGCACCAATGAGAGAAAGGAACACAAGAGAAGCATTAGACTGGATCTTCCAGAAGGTCTTTGTTGCAATTTTCTCCATAGTTAAAAAAAAAAATACATCATCAAATAAAGACAATAGCAGCACAGCTTATTGAAATGACACAAGCCAATTTGCTTTTGTACTTTTCCTAAGAACATTATGAAATCCCCCCAACACACATTATCTGTAAAATGCCTTTTTTTTTTTTTAAGCACCATGAAATCCTACAAAGAGAAAACAGGTTAAAAACTCCACACATAGGTTTATCATCATTCATCACTGGGTCCCCTGCCTGCGACTCGAGACTGGGGTGGGAAGGGGGCTGGGGCTGGCACACTGGGTAGTTTGCATATCACTTCTAGGCACCACCGCTGCACCTCCTCCCTTGGAGCTCAGAACCCTGGAGGAGAAGGAGAGGTTTGGAAGTTATCCTCTGTAGCACAGGCCCACTGACTCCTGGGGCGGGGGGGGGGGGCGGGAAGGAGTCCTGTGAAGGAATTTTTGTTGTTGTGGTTTTCCAATGCATGGGGAACTGTTTGAGATTTTTTTACTTAAGAACCAAGAACCCAAAGGAGATTCTAAACCTCTGGCACCTGTGAAAATGAAATCATTCTCACTAAAACCAGAAGCCTCTCTCATTTCTTCTGCATGCCCCTGCACTGATGTCTGTGACCACAGACTGTCTTGGAAGGGCCCAGGTTTACATGGAGCATGGACAGGTCTGCCAAGTCTGCCAGCTATCACACAGGGCAGGGTGCACAGGAGCCATATAACATAACCAGCATGCCATTTCAAAGTTTCCAGATTGCAGAATCAACACGCCAAATTAGGGTGACTTTTGCTTCAGAGAATTGCATTTTTCTTTTAAAGGCCGTTACTAACTAGCCCTTAAGCTTCCTCTGCTCATTCAGCCACTGGCTTTGCACCCCACAGCATCATAACAGTGAGGAAGAATACCCCCACTAGAAATTTTGGCAGAACACAAGAATCAGGGATGTGGGGTGTAATGTAGACATGTTCCTCCTTTCTTCTCTTAGAGAGCTCTGCGTGTTTGTCGTCCTGTTCCCTCCCTGTGGTCCCTGAACTGGGATACCGATGGGGTGGTTCACATTCTTCCCTGATCCCGCAAGTCCAAACCTGCCCCACCCACACCCTGGCCCTCCACATGGTCACTGATTCCCTAAACAAGCAGACAGACATGTGGCCTTCACTTAGCCAGGAAATGACATCGTCTCAGAGGGAGGCCAGGGGGCGGGTTGATAATGTTTAGCACAACGAAGACTTTCAACATGGAATAGTCCCCACAGAACTCAAAATAGCCATTTCCTGTGTTCGTGTGTGTGTGTGTGTGTGTGTGTGTGTGTGTGTGTGTGAGTGAGAGAGAGAGAGAGAGAGAGAGAGAGAGAGAGAGAGAGAGGGAGAGACACATGAAAGTACATGAAGTAATCAAAGGGATAATTTTAGTACAACTGACTGCAAATAGCAAGGCTTAAAATTCTTTAACTAGTCTTAACACCATGCAAAAAATGCCCGTGTAGCATATACCACCCCCCCCCCTGCCCCGGGGTGACAGTGTGCCACTGAGCTACAGGGGAAGGTAGAGATACTACACAGGGCATAATCTAAATTTGGACACCATTCTCTGAAATATATCTGGTCTCCATCTATCACCCAGAAAACACAATCCAAAAGGGCAGAAGACTAAGTTCTCACCTTCCCTTAGAATGGATGAGACCATTAGTCAGTATTCATAAATCCAACTCGCAACTTTCTTAATTGGCTCACAGACCGGGGGCGGGGGGGAATGTTTCGTGAGAGAACTGCAGAACAAAAAGGGCCCTTGATGACTGTCTTCGCCCCACTCCCCTGAGGTGCCAATGTGGTACAGGAACTGATGTGCCCACAGTGATAGGCTGTGACTTGTGGAGCACAGTGGTCCCAGGCACCCCACGCACTATACAACCCTACCCCAAAATTGCACCTTGCTGAAATCACTACTGGGCTAGGACCAAATATCAGGTTGCATTGGTCTCCCCGACTGTCCCTTGGCTCTCAGCAGTAAACCGCCACACTGAGTACCCAAGTGCCATGTCAGCTGAGAAACATGACCACCCATTGAAGATGCCAAACATGCTCTTCCCGTGTGCAAGGTGAAGGTGTTGATTAGAGGTTTGTGGTGGGGCAGGGGTGCAGACTGAAGGGCCCGTACAGAACACGTGGCAGTTTTGCACTATGGCGTGTGCTTCATGGGCTATCCAGCCCCATCTCAAGAAAGGTAACATTCAAATAACTTCTAGACCACTGACTCCTCAAATCTTAGCGGGAGGAATCCAATCTCTTATTCCCTCTGACCTGCTCCTTTGAGGAACACAGTTTTCCAAACATGCCCATGGGAATTTAATGGATCAATCTCCACAGAGGTGGTCTCTGATGATTTGGCAGGGCCTGGTACCCATTGTACACTGGGAAGGGGTTCTATCAAAGGTTCCCAGGCTCCCAACTCAAGGCAATTTTTGATTTTTTGTCTTTGCTGAGATTGGACTCTTTGGGGAAACATCTATGCACACGCCAACACACGCACCTGTTCCATTTGGTAGAGCATGCAGCTTGGTGCTTTGAACTGTTTTATTCCTGCTATATGCGGGGTTCCTGCAAAGTAGGCAAATAAAGTGCAAAGAGTACCTTCAAAGGGCATCTGTGACAGTACAGAAAAAGTGCCATATACAGTATTTTCAAAAACCAAACCATAACAGCGCACAGTAGGTGTCTTCAAGGGCAACCCTTTAGGCCTTTTGTGTAAAACACAAAGACCTCATGCCCTCTCAGGGGTAGAGATTATTCCACCTCTCCCCCTCATCTCTGTAAACTGTGTTCATGAGACTTGAAGAATACATGTATACACAAACACACACACACACACACACACACATACTCACAAGAGTGCACAAAAGACATTGTAGCAAAGTTGAAAGCAGACTTTGGTCATACTTTTGAATACCAGCTCTACTGCCTTCTTGCTGTGTGCCCTTGGGTAAGTTACTTAGCTTTCCTGAGCCTCCATGTCCTCATGTATAATGGTTGGCAAATACTTCATGTGTGGTGTAGTGAGGTTTCAGTGAGCTAACATCCATAAAGTGCCTGATTCAGTATCTGGCCCACAGAAGACATGGGATAAATGACAGTGGGGAGCCTCTTTGCCAGATCTGGCTATAGGGCCTGAAATTTTAACACACAAAGAGGTACCGAGGTACTATGGGGTAGAAACCCAAATAAATGAGATCCATGGATAGGTTGATTGGGAAACATAAACTTGTCAGAATAAGGAAGTTCCAGTTATCTGCCAACTCCTTATAACACACTGGGCCTGGCTGGACTGAGTCCCATGGTTAAAAACCAACATCCACACCTGCACACCCACGGTTCCCCAAGCATCTGCTCAGTACCATGAGAACAGTAAAGGTCTCGCCATAGATGATCCTTATCTGGCTCTTCCTCAAAAGCAATGCCAGAACTCTAACTATAGAGCCTAAAGGTTTGGGGCTGGGCCAGGGGGATTGTGTATGCTGCAGGCAGGGAGAGCCGTGCACATGTGGGAAAGAGGCAGGGATGGGTCTTCCGTGGTGCTGACTGTCAAGACTGCCCTGGGCATAATTTTCCCCTGAAAGTCGGAAGTGCTAGATGGTTTCTGTACGTCTCCATTTGTGTCGTGTGATCATTTGGAAAGTCCACTTGGTGGAGTAGTTATATAAAATCCCATCAAAAAACCCCCAAAGGGGTGTGACTGTGCCTGGAAGGCTCACGACCAGCAACTTCCTGGAGTTTTCCAGGCCCACGTGTGGCCCAAACGACTAACTTGAACCAGTAGGACAGACAGCCAATTACGACACAGACTGAGGCACACGCAGAATAATGGCCTCATGTATATTTTTCCCTTTCTGATTTAAAAAAATCTATTGAAGATCATCCCCTCAAAACCTGTGACTAGCCATTTCTCCACTTTGCTTGGCTGAAAGTTCTAGCCTGGGGAACAATCGTTACTTTTCACACGTTGGTCATCGTTTGCCTTGAAACGATCAGTAGAGCGTTGCCATTTTAGTGAAAAAAAAAAAAAAAAAACAGACATGAGATAAAGAAACAAGCAAAGAGAAAAGAAGCCAGGCTTCCAGAACAAAGGAACAGCCAAACATAAAAATGAACAAAATACTTTAAATGTTTCCTTTAAGTATTACTTTTTAGATGACATTAATGGCACTTAACTGCAAGCAATTAAAACATTTCAATCTTACTAAGCAGGGGGTGGTTGAGGGGTTGTTTTTCCTTGTGTTTGGAAGTAGCAAGGTTGGGTCTCAAGACTATGTCTACCCTAAGACACCCAAAGGGACAAGAAGCCCTGAGATGGAAAGATGCCATGGTCCTCTTCGGTACGTCTCAGAAATGCAGGATGTCTATTTTTATAAAAGTTGAGAATCGGCTAGACAGAACAGCAAGCCACTGGCATCATGCAAGGCAATAGTTTTGGTATTTTCCCCCCTCTTATCAAAACGAGTTATCACTGAAGTCACCCCGTAGAAAAGTGAACGTCGACGTCTCAAAATCAGTTCATTTTCACCATCACACCCACTGAGGAAAGCGCACGATTCGCTGGTAACCATGCAGTGGTTGAGGCTGAGTCTCCACCCATGCAGCCAGGTGCACTCGGGTGACCCGCCCCTGTGAGAAGGACACTACTCGGTGGGCTTCTGTCAGCGGATAAGGTGATCTCCACAGTGTGATGGGTTTGTGGTTGTTGTTGTTGTTGTTTTTTTTTTCTTTTGTAATGAGAAAAAGCAATTGCACCTTTTAATATGTGTGCTCTGATCCACTTCCAACAAATTCCAGGTGCTCTCGGGTCCCACGGACATTCATTTGGAGCTCAGAAAGAGTAGGTATTACGCACGGAATGGTTTGTATCAAAATTCAAGCTCAGAGCACATGCCAAAACGTCAGCTCTAAACCTAGTTGCAGTTAGTTCCCAGCTCACCAGCGAACAGCCCCCGCCGCCACCGTGTGACAGATCACGGATGGTAAGTTGTGGAAACCTAAAAGACACAACTATTCCTGTCGGAGGCTGGCCTAAGGAACAGCTGCCCTTGTCTAGGTGTTGTGCCAGGGCAGCGCTGCACGGCGGTACTGCATCCACCTTCCCACCTGAGGTGGAACCTGCCACGTGCATCTGCTTGCTGTGTGCAGGAGCGCGCTCCCCCGGTGTGTCCTGCGGCTGCTATCTGAAATGAACCTCTTGTTCTTGGACTCATTTTGGCAGAGCAAGCTTTCAGTCGTTTATGGCACAGTGAAATATATTCTTCAATGCTATGTAATTTTGGACTAATAAGAAGTCTGTTTAAGGCACGTGTCTCAGTGTGAATATATATATATATATATAATATTTAAAAAAAAAAAAAAAAGACCACACAATGCTTAGTCCAAGTCCAACATCTTTGACGTTTAGTTTCTGTCTTCAAGTAACGAGTTGTTCTCAAGCTCCCTGTCTTTGGTGTCTGTGGGTACCATTCCGTTCTCCAGCTCAGCCTGAGGCTGGATGCACTCGGTCAGCATGGCTGTGCTGGAGTTGTCTGAGTTACACATCTTTTCTGTCTCCTCCTCCTTCTTCTCTTCATCCAGAGAGTAATTCCGGAAGGTCTTGTAGATTTTCTGCACATCCTCAGGCAAGGTCTTTTTGAGGTCTTTGTTTTTCCTCTTGGTGAGTTTGGACGTGGACCCGAACTTGTTGATGATGTTGTCCTCAGAGGCCCCTTGTCCGTGCTTATTGAGCTGCTCCGACCCCTTAAGGCGCAGGTTGTTGGGCCGGTTGTTGATGCTCTCCTGGGAGGAGGCCTTGAAGCGGCCACCGTCCAGGGCGGCGAAGACGGAGCGTTTTTCTGGAGACAGCATGTCCAGCGAGTGGGCCCGCTGGTCCAGGCCCAGGCGCCGGCGCTCCATGCTGCGGATGGTGGCTGCCCGCTGCAGCTTGTCGTGGATCTCCACACTGAGGCGCCGCCTGGTCTCCCGGAACTCGGCCGTCACATTGGCCTTCCACTCGGCTGCGTGGGCCTTGATCTCACCGACCTGGCCAAGAGACGGAAGAGCATCAACACACTGGGAAATTCCTCTCCTGGGGGGGGGGGGCAGCACCCGCAGCCCTCAGGTGTCCCCAGGGGGAGGTGGTCTGCATATGCCCAGGGAAAGGGACCAAATGCAACTTCTGCCCTAGTCCTTTTTGCCACCCAAATACCCACCACAAATTGGCTATGTAATTTTGCTATGTAGTGGCTCTAGGAGGCACATGGAGAGAATCCAAAGGACGCCTGAGACTGGGAGATGGTGGCTGAGTAAGAGGTGACAGCTTTTTGGAGGAGAGGCTGATATATGGGATTCTAGTCATGTCTCTAACTTTTAAAAAATTATATGGCCTCCTTCCTCCCACATAAGCAGAGGTGATCAGATCTAACTCAAATCTAATCTTCTCTCTTTACCCAAAATAAGGAAATGTGCCTAACTCAGTCCCGGACCTCCAAAAAAGGTGCTGAGCAAGACCTTTATCCTTCCCTGTCCTTCCAACATCTATTTCTGGGTAAGATGAGAAACTCATCCCAGTTTGCCTGGGACTGTCCTGGTTTTAAAACAGAAAGTTCCTATGTCCTAGGAACCTCCAAGGTCCTGGGGAAGATGTGATAGTGGGTTCTGTCCCTATATTTGGACAGTGCATAGGCTACCGGGCTTGCCCTGGCTGAAGAAGACCCTCCTGGGCAAATGGTGACCAAATTTCCTTGTTCAGGGTGCAGGAAAGGGGACCTGTTTTGCCAACGTCCTCAGAACCTATATTCTTAGAAAGTGAAGTTTTGCCAGAGGATCAGCACCCAAATTTCTTGGCCTTTCATCAACAGGGCAGACAGTACTTGTCGCGTCCTTCCCTATAGAGATAAGTGACTCAAATTTTTGCATTTAGGAAAGTCAATATTTATGTCATTCCCTCCTCTTTGGTTAGCTGATCAGTTAGCCGTCTGGGGAATCAGACTGCATTGACAGTGTTTATGCAGCCAGGAAAAGGAACACGTGGGTCCAGGAAGGAGGGGGAAACTTTCTCCCCCAGCAACTTTCTCCTGGGGCCCTTTATGTCGAAGGAGGACAACAGTTCCCCCTTAAAGGCACCGTCCCCTCTCTTGCTCTCTGTCTTTTCTTCTCTCTCCCTTCTTTCATTTAGCTCTTTCTTTCTCCTCCATTTGTCCTGCTTTCTTCTTTTCTTTTCCTCCGTTCCTAGAGAACGACATGATTTTTTTTAAAGCCACAAAATGCATCTTTCCTTTTCTCACTTAAGTGTGGGTTCTCACATAAATTTACAGGAGTAAAGACTGTGCCCGTGGCCATAGAGATAAATCTGTCTCTGTGGGTCCAACAACTGGGGCAGACACAAAAGACAAATGAAAGGGGACAACTGGTTCCACTTCCCCCTGGCAGGCCACTGTTGGACAACTTGGGTCTCCTAGAAAAGGGACCCAGAGACACCTGGGCTGCACTCCCACACCCACCTGAGCCCTGAAGGACAGGCCAGCTCTCCGAGGCTCCTTATGAGTCTGATTTGCTGAAAAGGGACAACTGCACATCTCCCTCTGCCTGAGTCTGCTTTAATTTACTTTTTTCCCCCCTTTTCATTTACCTTTTTTTTTTAAAAAATCAGTTGTTGTTTACAAGAATCCCTAGGGTTCATGGACTGGTAAGGAATCACTATATTTTCTCAGTTGCCAAAAGAAGGTTCTCGAAATAATGGCTCTTCGAGTCAATTTGAGGTAAAGATTCAAGACTGGAAAGCCTTATGAGACCTGCCTGGAGCCAAGGACCCTCTAGCCCCCAGAGAGAGGCAGTTGCTGATGGCAGCTAATCTGATGTCAGGAATACTTGTAGTTTGGAAGGGGTTAGGGGGCCTACCTCTTCTTTTGTCTTTTTGGATAGAACCCGCAGCCAGTCTCCGATCATACTGAGGACAGCTGCAAAGTAGGCAAGGCCGACCAGGATCCAGAACCACACTAGGGGCTTATACCACTCCCGGTAATTGATGCCAGCGTTTCCCCCTGAAAACAACCAAGCGTTACTGTAGCCATCATCTAGCATTTGGTCTTTGCAGAACAAACGTATCCAGCCCATGCGGCAGAGATGCTCTGACACCATCATATGACACTCAGCAGTTGAGCTTGCTGTATAACCGACAGGACGGCTGGCTGTGCGTCCCTGCCCCAGGACAGCCTGACTTGGGTCTCAACTTTGATTCTTGATCACCCACCTTAATACCTGAAACAGACAAATGTCAGCGGCCAACTTGACCCTCCTCTTCTCCACCGGAGCATGGAGGAGGAATGACTTCAGCCTAAGGCACCCCAGCCCAGACGCAGTTGTCGTTCTTTTCTTTTACACTTCTCTAAATTTATTTTAATAAAAATCAAATAATCCTCAAATGATCCCAGGTGGTTTTGAACTCTTAGAACCATTTCCATCTGAAGTGCACATGAATCTACCAAGAGATGGGTGGAATTAGGCACCATGGCCTTGCAGAGGCTTTGATCTCTGAATTAGTGATTTAATGCTAAGAGATGGTGTTTACATGATGCTAATCCAAAGGGTCAATTAGGCTGAGCAATTAGAATCACCATAAACTCGAACTAAAAGGGACCTGTGAGGCCATCTAGCCCAATCCCTTTATTTTATAAATAAGGATTACAGTTAAAAATCCATCAAATCAAATTGGCCAGTTGCCTGATGGTATTGACTAGCTGTTTCATTGAAAGAACAAGTCATTTATTCCAAATAATTAGCCCATTTATTCCAGCCTTCCTGCAAGCACTGTTAGGGCGGCCCACTCTCCTAAGGAAGTGAGGAAGCTCAGTGGAATGACTGACAGCAGCCTGGTTCTCACTCTCGGCAGCACTGTTACCCAGCAAAGCAGGCAGGAGCTGTTTCCAAGGTGACAGGTACTAGCAGTATGTTAGGAATTACAGTATTAGGTGATGAGTGATTGCTAGGCTTTCCAATTGCTCCTTTGTGACCACATCTATCACCACCAAAGTCATACTGAGTACCTACAGGTGGTCAGACACTGGGCCCTGTGGTTCTTCTAAACACGCTCAGACCCACACCGCAACGCAGCCCGAAAGGGATTGACAGCCACTGCCGAAGCACATGGCAGGAGGAGGGAAGGAGTTGGGAAGCAAACCTCCAGAACAGCAAGCTTTCTTTTATTCTGCAGTGAAGTCTACCCATCAGGCACAGGAGGGCTGACTTTTCTAAGTGTGGAAATGACCCCCGGGATTACAGAAGGAGTCTGGGTTTTATAGTTTACAATGAGGTCATGAATTAATCCTTGGAGACTGCGGATGTGCCGTTTGGACAGTCAGGGACCTAGTTGTTCAGGTTAAAACTTGAACTCAGGAGGGCAGTTGTAAAAAGTTTGCAACTCCTTGTCCCTGGGAAGGACTCACGACTCAGTGTTCACTGTTTATTGTCTTCCTCTGGACCCACTAGTACCTAAAGCTTCACTATTTGCTTTTCTCCTTCCAGGACTCATCTGCAATGGGAAAGGGTGAAAGTCCAGGGCCCAGTGTTTCAGTATTCACTGGCTCCCTTTAGGAACCATTGTGGTTGGGAAGGGGTGAATGTTTGCTTTTGGTGGAGGTGCTGGGGCTGAACCTGGGAAGGGGTGAAAGGTGGCTTTTTCCCTCAGGCCCACTGTTACTGGGAAAGGATGTACTGGGAGAGGTGTAACGTTTGGCTAACTTCCTCTCCCTCCTGCCAAGCCACACTGTCCCTCCATTTTTCCCAGGGGGTGGGGGCTGTCTTGTAGGAATATTATTTTCCATAACCCTTTAACTGCCACCTCCTAAGGTGAGAAATTCACTGCCTCAGGGCTGTGTGTCCAGTCCCTGGTCAGCTCTCCTCACAGCTTTCTTTAGGATACAATCTGAGTTTCTATAACATTGAGTGATTTTTGAGCTTTCTTTTGTTTCTGTGCTAAAAAGCTATAGCTTTCTCCTTTGGGCTGAGAGTAAATATTTACCTTTCCAAGTCACTATTGCCCAACCCAGGGTGTCCCCAGAAAAATGCAGGAACCACCCTTCCCAGATCCTTTCATCAGCTCAGTGGGAACTTGAAGTTTGGCGTGTGCTCCCAGTATGTCCCTGGGCTGTCCCAGAGTGGGTCAGCTACAAAATAAACCAGCTCATTCCTGGGGTGGTGGAGGTTCTGATTACATGTGACCGTGTCAGATCACTGCAACTCTCAATGATTAGTCGTGAATATTGTTTTCATGATTGGGTTGGCTTCCCAGTCACTCTCAGAGTTAACAGCTGGCCCTCCGAATCTGTGCATTCTGTATCCATGGGTTCTACCAAAAGTGGATCAAAAATATTGGGGGAAAAAAAATTTGCATCTGACCTAAATACGCAGACCTTTTTCCTTTCATTATTCCCTAAACAATAGAGTATAACAATCATTGCATGGCTTTTACATTGTATTATGTATGGCAAGTCATTTAGAGATGATTTAAAGTCTATGGAAAGGTGTGCACAGACGGAATACAAATGCTATGCCGTTTTTAAGAAAGGGACTGAAGCATCTGCAGAGTCAGCATCTGCAGGGGTCCTGGAGCCAATTCCTGTGGATGCAGAGATGATTGTATTCATGAAAGGGTAGTGAGATGTGCGGTCTGCATATTGGTCTATGTAAGCCCTGGAAACTGGAACTTAGAAAGACCTGATTTAATGACATTCAGCACTGTGAATGATTAAGCACCTGTTCTGCAGAAACAAAGGAAATATGGCTCTGTAGTCACTGATAAGCAAGGACATTAAAACCGTGTGGATGCCCAGGACTGTGTAGGTTACACACCCACTGGGCAAGTGAAGATGTGGTGAAGTGCTGATGGGTACCATTGCTCAGTCCAAGTGGCTAGTAATTCATACCTGAAGAGCATCTGTATCAAAATCTCACGTTACTCAGGATCTGCTATTTGTGCCCCCAGGTTAACAGACTGAATTGAGCTAACTGCTTAGAGAGAAAGGTTCATCACAAGTATTTGATAATACATAGTCCTTGGGACACATTGCAAATTATGCTTGGGGATACTTAAAATACTTTTGAAATACTTCTAAATTCCATCTGTCCTTACACAAATGTACTTTAGATTGGAACCTCAGTTGAATTTTCCCATGTTCCAGCTATGGATGATGCTAAGAAATTATACTTAATACACCTACAATTGTTCCTGTTACTTTTCTCAGTTTCTCTGTGTAGTTTCTCTCCAAAGCTTAGGGCCTCTAGTCAGCAGTGCTTGAGCATTATGCACAAGGAAAGATTGCCAGGCTCCAGGCATTCTGTAATTTTTTTTTTTTTTTGTACTGAGGATTGAACCCAGGGATGCTAAACCAGTGAGCCACATCCCCATTACCCCAGTTTGACCACTGACCCATATCCCCAGCCCTATTTAGTATTTTATTTAGAGATAGGGTCTTGTTGAGTTGCTTAACACTTTGCCAAATTGCTGAGGCTGGCTTTGAACTCGAGATCCTCCTGTCTCAGCCTCCCGAACTGCTAGGATTACAGGTGTGTGCAACCATGCCCAGCCCCCAGACCCTTTTTATTTTTTATTTTGAGACAGGGTCTTGCTAAATCATTTGCTGAAGCTGTTCTCAAACTTGCAATCCTCCTGCCGTGGCTTCCAGAGTCACTGGGATTACAGACGTGCACCACTGCCCCCAGCTCTGTAAATAACTTTTAATAGCTTTGACTTTGCTAATTCTTCACCTATAGCCCATAAAAAGGAAAGAGGGGAAAATACTACCATTTCTACAAAGTGGGCCTCAGTCTGCATCTGCACAGTTGGAGCTGTCAGTTATCTATGTTGTAGAATTAACATGGAGGCACCCATACTCTGTTGACCAGCCTCCAACATGTCTTATCAGATTCCCAGAGACTAGTTACCCATCCTCCTTACATTCACTACACCATGGAGAATTCAAGGCACTGATGGGAACACACACCAGACAAAGTACAGTCTGCCTGGGAGCTCAGCCTCCAAAATGTGAAGGCTGCTGCTGATCAGGAACTGATCAAAGAAACATGCACTCGCGCACGCACACACACACACACACACACACACACACACACACTCTGCCCAACCATTTCGAACTTATGATGGCATTGTTTGATTCTTGAAGTAGAAAATGATCAATTGTTGGCTGAGGTTGTGGCTCAGTGGTAGAGCGCTTGCCTAGCATGTGTGAGGCACTGGGTTCAATTCCCAGCACCATGAATGAAATAAAGAGGTCCATCAACAAATAAAAAAAATTTAAAAAGAAAAGAAAATGACCAATTGTCTGAACATCTAGAACCATGCCTACAGGGAAGGAGGAGGAGGTGGAATAGAAGCCTCCTGGTATTCCTGCCTTCCTACCACACCTTGGGAAAGCACTATGAAGCCAAATCTCGATTCATTTTTAAACTCCCCATCCCTGGGTGAAATTGATGGTGGTTTTCTTTCACTCCGTCAAACGTAGTTCATTGACTTCTATTTTTACAATGAAGATTAAGGAATAAATTGTGCTCCCTCTAGACAGTGCTCATCTCCCAACCCTAAATCTTGCACCTGAGCATACCCAGAACGACTTCTCCAGAGGCAGTGGTTCTCATGTCAGTATCAGGAAGCTCAGCCTGCAGGTCACCCAGGCCATCCTCCATGCTAACTTCTCTCAAGTTTCATACTTGCCTTGTGGAAATACAGCCTTCGTGAGTTGATTCAAGCTCCCTTAACACAACTGATAGGACCTAGATTTCTGAGAAATTCATTCTGCTCTTGCATAATTCATAAATGGGCACTAAGCATCCCAAGAAGAAGGAGGCTGACTTTCTTTTCTTCTGCCTCCAAGTGTGGTGGTGCTCGCCTATAATCCCAGTGGCTCGGGAGGCTGAAGCAGGAGGATCATGAGTTCAAAGCCAGCCTCAGCAAAATCGAGGTGCTAAACAACTCAGTGAGACCCTGTCTCTAAATAAAATAAAAAATAGGGCTGGGGATGTGACTCAGTGGTTGAGTGCCCCTGATTTCAATCCCTGGTACCCACCTCCCACCGCCCCCCCCCCAAAAAAAAACCTCTGTTCTTTACATCACATAGGACAAAGTGGTTTGAAATGAACCTGTGCCCGGCAGCGGTGATATGGAATCATTTTCATTGGCTTCTCCGCAAATATCCACTATTGTGATTTTAAAAAACAAGATGATTTTTTTCCCACCAGGACCCCAGTGACTCGGATGCCCAGGGTGCTTACCTGCCACAAAATCACCAAATCCCACCGTGGTCAGAGTGACCACCACAAAATAAATGGATTCCAAGGCCGTCCATCCCTCGATATATTTAAAAATGACAGCAGGGATCGTCACAAACACAACACAGCCAGCCAAGATGAACAGGATGGTTGAGATGACCCGGATCTTGGTCTGACTCACTTGCTTTTTCTAGGAAGAGCAAAGGAGAAATACCGATAGGCAAGTCAGTGGCTTCACCCTGGATTCAGAAGACAGACGCACAGGTCAGTGGCTTTTAAGCTTTCTTCAATCATAGGCTCCTCTGAGGGAAGCTGGTGAAAGCTGCTGTCTCTCTCCTAGAAAAACACACACACATACAAGTTTTCAGGTGATCCAGGAGGATCTGAGGCTCCTCCAGGTCACGCTTAGTTCACACTTTGAATTCTCCTTTCGTGATCCTACAGTTGCAGCCCTGATACTGATTCTCACTTCCCCACTAGTGCAAACACAGTTCTTTCTCAAGAAAGGCTTGCTGCCATGCCTCACGGGGCATCACTGACCCCTCCCTCAGGGAGAAAGGGGGAGGGGCGTGGAGCTCTTTCCACACTGGCAGTGATGGGATTACATCTAGTTTCCCTGCCTCGTTTTTCAAAGAATATGCTGGGGGAAAGAAAGACCTGATTGGCTTATGAGAGGTAATGGGATGGTCGCCAACATTCTTCACAAAAAAAAAAAAAAAAATGGAATCAGGCCCAAGTGTTTGCATGAAAGGGAAAACATAGCCACATCCATCCCCATTTGTGACAACTGCAGCCAAGCACTGGTGTTTTTGCAACCTCTTTCCTCACACGGAGGCTGTACATTATCACACACTTTTGTTTTAAATATAATTGTTTGAGCTGGTGCTGCGTCCTTCGAGTATGTGGGCCCAGAAGAAACAGGACAGGGCTCAGAATGACAGGGTCACTGTCTAAAGGGGCAGAAGGAGCTTCAGCTCATGGCACCTTTTGAAAGAGTCAGCAGTTTGGTGGCAAACATACTTTTAAAAATGGGAATTAGACTGATATGGGGGCAAAGGACTCATGCCAGGGGGTGAGAGGTAGACAGACAGACAGCGTCACTGGGAAGCGCCTCCACGCGCCCAGAACACGGTGCGGCGTTTTGGTGGAATGACCCTCCCCGGGTCTTTTCCAAACTCTCAGAATTGGCGCTGAAGGTTGTCATCAGGGGTCCTTGGAACCACATGCTGTCATAAAACAAATGAAATATATGTTTAACGGGTGCATAAAGAAAATGTGATGTATATATACACAATGGAGCTTTATTCAGTCATAAAAAGGAGTGAGATTATGTCATTTGCTGGAAAATGGATGGAACTTGAGAGCATCATGTTCAGCAAAACAAGCCAGACTCAGAGAGGACTGTATGTCTGCTCTCACAGGTGGACGCTAGAGAGAAAAGAAGAAGAAAAAAAGATGAAGGGGACTGGCAAAGGAGAGGAAGAAGGAGCGGGAGGGAAAGGGAAGATACTGGGGAATGGAATTGACCAAGTTCATGTTACATGCGTATCTGAATATATCACAATGAATCCCACCATTACGTACAATTATAATGTACCAAGAAGAAATTAATTTTAAAAAGAAATGTATGTTCGATACCAGAGTGCATGGTCTGTCTATATTGCCTAAACTGATTTTAGGAAAAGCAACTGCACTTGGAGCTATCGACACAGGAAATCTTTATCAGACAGTCTGCCTATTCACGGCCTTCTGGTGAGTCAGAAGGCCAAGAACCACAGAGCAGAGAAGAGGCTTGCACATTCAGGTACTTTACTGATACAAAACGAGTTCCCACAGGGGTAAGGGGACTTGCATGAAAATGCTTCTGCTACAGAGAGACAGAGCTAAGATTAGAATTCTGGTGGAGCTAACCCTCAGTCTGGTGCACAAAGATGGAAACAGTTTTCCAAGTTATTCAGCAACTCGGCAAACCAAGCCAAGCTGGGCTCCCTCGCACGGGACACCAGACTCACCCTGAACCCCTTCTGGGAAGGAAGACTGAGAGAAGAACTAGCCACTGGGTGATCCGTCCAGGAGAGTCAAAGAAATATACAAAGGAGTCATGCGCTTGGACTCGTGGCAGGGTGCTCAGTCTGCCAAATGGGATCTGTACTCTTCCACTGCCCGCTCTCCTTATCTCCTCAAAAAAGCCATTTAGAAAAAAAAAAATCACAATATTGATGTTGTTGAGACTGCATATGAAAATATCAATTTTTTTTCCACACATGAAAGAATCGTGACAAGATGAATTACCTGAGCACCACGTGGAATGTTCTGCCCTCTCATGAATTTCCATATCAGATTCGAGGGCAGGGCTTTGTGAGGGCAGCTGAGCCCCTCTGGGGACCCAGGAACTTATTAGGCTAGTTTTGTTTGTAGACATGCAGGCAAAGTTCAAAGCCCACAAGGAGGCTGCACCGTAGATCATTAAGCTCATCTAATTGCTGGCAACGGGAAACCAACGTCTCCCCTTCCACAAATCGCCCTCCTCACACGCGTAATGAAATTAAAGTGAATTAAATGTTTGTGAGACGCTTGTTAAGTCATAAATTAGGATGTGAGTGCAACTGCAAACTAAATGAGGTTGAGACTGGCAAAGAAGGGCGTGAAGCACACAGGAAGCTGACCATCTTCCCAGGCTTCCTGAGGTAGGCCAGGGAACCACAGTGACTGGCCGGAGGGGGTTTGACTGGAGGAAGAGAAAGTGTCACCAAGGCTAGATGCTGGTGTCTTGACTGCAGTGTCTACTGGAGAATTGATCAGCAAGGTGAACGCTTCTCTGCTCACCACCCGAGCCAACCAGCGTGTCCCTGGGCTGCTTCTCCCAGGTACCCAAGGGCGATGCTCAGAAAATGCTTGGGGCATTTTAACTATCTGGGGTGTTTTAAATGTCTTCATGTTTGAGTCCGCTTTTTCACTGCTGGGACCCAAAGATACCCAACAAGAACAACTTAGAAGAGGAAAAGTTTATTTTGGCTCACAGTTCCAGAGGGTCAGTCCGTGGTCTCCTGACCCTTGATCTGGGCCAGAGCCAGGTGAGGCAGGGCAGAACTTCAGGGCAGAAGGGAGTGGCAGAGGAAAACAGCTCAGAACATGACAAGACAGGAGCTCACCTCACCAGGGACAAAATGTAAACCCCAAAGGCACATCCCCAGTGACCTACTTCATCCAGTCACCCCTACCTGCCTACAGCTACCACCATAGAGTAAATCCATGCTAGTGGATGAATCCGCCGATTAGGTGACAGCTCTCATAACGTGATCATTTCACCCCTGGACATTCTTGCATGGTCTCACACGTGGGCTTTTGGGGAACACCTCATATCTAAACCATAACAAGAAATAAATATCTCACAAACCCTGTGTAGATGCATGAAAATATGTGTTTCCCCGTACTTCGTTATAAAAAGGTAATGTGTGGGCGTAGGCTTTATCTGTTATTCTGGACACTCTTGCTTTTTGCTGCCCACCTAGACATTAACAACAACAAAACTGTTGCTTCCATCAAACGTTTTAAACTGTAGCTTTCACCACAGAACCACAAACCATCTCACGTGTCACGTGTTGTGTTCAGGCCACTGATTCCCATTCGCTCCTACTGTGGAATGGTGTTTGAGAACATGGAGTCTAGGAGCAGACTGCCTGAGACAGTCCTGTCCCTGCTGCTAGAGAGCTGGGTGACTTCAAGCAAGGTGCTCAGCCTCTCTGGGCATTAGTTTCTTCCCCAATAAAATGGAGATAAAAGAACCCAACCTATCCGGGAAGTTTGGAAGATTATGTGTAAAACAAAATATGTGTAAGAAAGCTTAGCACTGGGTCTGGTAAGTGGTTGTAACAGGCATTTTTATTGTAAAAGCTGAACTCTTGCCTTAGATGTCGGCAGTTCCAGATTAAGTGTTTCTCTTTGCTGCTAAGGAATGTTCCCTCATATCTGAAGAGAATCTCTGTGTAGCTTCAGGAGGTCCATGTTGGTTGTGCCTTCCTGGATCATTATCTTCTATAAGTACCTCCTTTTGGGCAGTCCTCATTCTTCCCTGGTCTGTCAGTACCAACTCCACATTTGGCTCTCGGACACTCTCAGCTCACCATTCTGGAAGATTTTGTATTTGTCTTTCAATTTATTTCCCCCTCACTTTTTAGCATCCTTCTAAAACCGCTCAGAATTGAAGTCAATGCCTGGGACATCAGGAACCAGCTGCAGAGGACCCCTGAGAGACACGGGTCATGGGTGTCCTCTCAGCCTCCCCCAGCCCCGAGGCCCAAGCCACTTACTAACAGAGCAGGGCTCCGGCCGCACAGTTGCTAAGCAAAATCATGCTGCTCGTTTAACAGTAAGAGAGCATCCCACAGAAGTCTCAGGAGCCCAGATCTAAGAGAGCTAAGGTGTCCTCGGGGGACCATCTTTGCTGTCTGGGTTTGGTATGATATTCAGGAAGATGCGACAGGCTCCTTGTCTCCTGCTGCTCCAATCTTTGTCCTCACACTTTGTTGATTTGATTAGAGCAGATGACGGGTTCTTTCCTGCTCCTTGCACAAATAATACCGAGCAAAACCATCTCCCATGCCTGACCTACGCTGGCTGTAGGCATTTCTGAAGAACTCAAAATCCATCTCCTGGAGAGTTTATTTAGTTGGCAAAAAATTATATATGCAATTATCCCAAGGAGCAAATAACCAGCACTCAGAGGTCCCCTTGGAGAGAGGGATGTAAACATGGACAATTCAAGCTGTGTTTACTCGTTCAGACCTCAGAGGGCTGAGCCACACGGCCAATTATCACCGAGCACAATTCCCTGCCTGTTTGTGTTGACTTACCCGTTTTATTTTAAAGGACACAAATATATCTGTTCCTTTGTGGGCTCTTTTTTTTTTCCATCTGATTTTTACTCTTCTCTAGTACTCTCCTCTCTTCGCATCTTTGTGGGATTTCTTAGAATTCTAACATTAACGCTCCAGATGGTTTTGTCTGGTTGAACACTTTGGGGGCGGTGGCTGGGGGAGGGTGTGATTTTCAGTCAGGACACTGGAGAGTTCATATTCAAAAGACACAGCAATAAAAATCCTAGGACAGGAGCTAGAGAGGCAGAGCCCTAGTTTATAGTTTGGTCTGGTCGAAATGCAAACTTGTCACCATGGTAATACAACTGAACCA